GATAGGATAGGGCCCCTCAACGAGGCCCTGGAATCTGTCACAACGGAACGAGTGGGCGTTCTCTCACACACTCCCACAGACCCAAGTCAATTTTTGAATTTTTTTAGGTTTAGGGTGTGCTTGCTACGAGGTCGTAAATTTGATACAACATCCAGTGCTGGGACCTCCACAGCAAGGAATTTCCACAGCGCTGCACACCAAATCCAGGATACCCTCAGAAACCGGCAAAGACTTCCACTCACGTTTCACGACTGCCTAGTACTGAATCCTACCTGACTTCTTGACACGACTCAAACTTGCCAAAGTCACTAAATCAACGTCAACGACAATAATCAAGCCACATATCTGCAACGTCACGAGGGTGCTGGCAAAAGTCCTGCTGCACGGCGGCGGGCTTCGCCCGCCGCCGTGCAGCCCAATTCGTGGCTCAAAAACCTTATTTTTTGGACTTGGAGCAAAATTCTGCACACTTTCACGTGTTTCCATGATACGACAAGTTGCGCACGGTCTGCTCACATTCAAATACAGTGCTGCTAACAAATGACAGCGTGCAACAAAAATATCTTTCCTTGCAAGGGCACATTTTCGGCCATAACTCTTGAACGGCCGGTCAGATTGGGACACAATTTTCAGAGAATTTGCAGCTATTCATGCTCTTTCAATTGACGTAGCAATCAATATGAATTTACAAATTCGATTTTTCAGCAAATTTTTGGGTAGTCTGCCACCTTAACGTTGACTTCCAGGGTACCACGGCATGAACCCTCCAATGGCTAAGACCTGCGTCTTGTCAGGGTTTAAAACCAGGCCTTTCCCGTGTAGGTAGTCAGCCAAGTTTGACACAGCAACTGATAACACTTGATTTAGGGTTGCTACAGATCCGCATGCGGTGTCGAGAAGGATGTCATCCGCAAACAGCTGGGAGTGTGCTGGGCTGGTGACGCTATGGACGTCCATGGTATATAGTGAAAACAGCAAAGGCAGTATGTAGCTGGTGGTCTGCTGACGACAGATAGCGGTCCATGGCCAAGGTCAGGGTATCTTCCGTGGAGTGTTGTGGCCGGTACGCAAACTGATTGGCAGGCAAAAGTGAATAGGTTTGTAAGAAGTCACACAGGCGTTTGTGGACTATCTTCTCCAAGATCTTCGATGCTATTGGCAGCAAAGATATGGGACGGTAATTGCGAGATGCGTTCTTGTCACTAGACTTAAATAGGGGTCGAACATTTGCAATCTTCGGGGAGAAGGGCACCATTCCAGACGAAAGGGATGCATTAATTAATATGGATAGCGACGGGGCGAGGGCTGCTGGACAATGCTTCAGGATGAATGCCGGAATACTGTCGCCGCCCTCAGCTTTACGAGCATCGAGTTTCACGAGGATGGCGAATATCGCCTCAACACTAGTGGCCTGGAATTCCCGCAAAGGATCCTCAACTGATGTAAAGTTCAATTCAAGGTGACAAAACAAATTGAAACCAAGTAGTTCGGCAATTTCTGTCAATGAAATGCCACCAAAGGCAAGTGGCACAAAAGTTGAAGCATCTTCCTCTAGATTGCTTTGCAAAATGACAGTGACAGTGAAATGACTAGCTTTTTGTATAGCCTACTCTACAAGTAGGTATTGAATCTAATAACACGTCAGAGGCTGGGTGTTTGTGCCATAGGCACCGGCGGATAATGTCGGCATGATTCTTGGCATAATTTGGTGGTTGAAAATTTGGAGCAAAATATAGCATCCTCTCGGAGGTAGGAGCATAACTACACGATTTTACCACGGTTCTAGTATGTAGGCTATACAATTGTGTACAATGCGCCTGATCAGAGCTGGTGGTCTGCATGGCAAAGCGTTTGGAGGTCATGCAGATAGTGTTTTGAATGAAAAGCAGGGTAGAAATCATGGCAATACAATATTGTATGCTCGAACTCCTCTTCTGCAAAGTTCTTTCTCACACTGGCACAGTACATGTAGGAGAAGATGCCAGTGAATCAGCCTTCATCAGGTATCCCGGGGCGGAAGGGATAGTGACGGGTAGTCCGCAAAACTACGTGAACATTTACCGGTACTCGTACATTACATTTGTACATTATGCATGTTACGAAGTCATGACCAGTCTGGATTTTAGCAGCCATGATATGACGGCAGGCTACGGATATTGCTCTTGTTCGGTCATGATGGAAGGAGAAGTGGAGCTACGGGCGAGATAAGCTGATTATTCGCAGGGTGAGGCCCAGGGTGACATCGGTTGGACGAGTATGATGATTACGAAGACAGTTGAACATGATAATTTTCCAAGGTAACTCAAACTAATTTGGCAATGAAATAATATTTTTACTGAAGCACAAAAGAAATCAAGTAATGAATAGAGGAAGTATTGTTTTCTCTTTTCCTTGTTGACCGCTTAGGCTCTTACATGCATGGATACCTTGGTATGGGGATACTCATGTACATGTTATTTGTCGTACTTATGGCCACTTGCAACTTGCAAGTACGAAAAAGGCACAATTTCCTGAACTTTGAGGCTCCTTAAGTACAACAAAGTGAATGCACATGTATATCCCGGGTGCTGAAGCAAAATATGAGGATTTTACGACCATAATGCAAGAATCCATGAAAGCAAAATTCCTTGATTTCGCGAGAATAATCCGCCGGAGCCTATTGTGCACAGCTGTAGTTCTAGTAGTAGCAGAAGTGGGTTGCGCATATACATCAATAAACAAAGGGGTGTTGACGTCAGATCAAGGGGGCCTAGTAGAACGCACAATGTCCTTCTGCGAATCCATCGAAATCCGAGATTGATTTCACGCAATATTTCGCGTTTGGAAACATTTGTCCGCGGGTACCGGGCGCGGGCTGAGAAAAAGTCGTCTTCAAAAGGTTCTTTTGCGAGAATCCGCGATATGCGCATTGAAACAAAATGGCGTCACGATTTATTGAAAGTGGTATACATGTAGTTGGTACGAGGGTTCAAAACCATTAATTTTGAACTCCAAAGTGTTCGTCTTCTTTTTGACATGCTCACAACAGCTCGCAACAAAGAAAAGCTAAGGACTATGGAAAGAGAGCATGCCAAAGAAGATGAAGGCTATACATGTACTTGTAGTTCAAATGGTTTTGAACACCTGTACTGTACAACCAACTATGCCACTTTCAATAAATCGTGACGCCATTGGGTTTTAACACGCATGTGGCAGATTCTCGCAAAATAAACTTTTGAAGACGTCTTTTTTCTCGCAAAAAAACCTTCTCCAGGTCACGCACGACCGGCCCGCGGCCCGCGCCCGGTACACGCGGGATTTAATGTTTTTCAATCGTGAAATTTTGCCCGAAATACCCAGATTTCGATGAGGGCGTAGAAGTACAATCATGTACTTATATGACTGTAGTCGTTGTTGATTTGACAGCATGCATGAAACAAGTTCTAAGGCGGAGAACACCGTCTTCGGAAACAGTGACCTTACAACAACCATCTAACACCATGACTGTACTAATAGTACTAAGCTCCCTTAATTAATCTGACGTGAACACCCCGTTGTTTATTGATGTGAATTAAGCTGTCGAAGTGCCTACGTCACGCTGCCTGAAAACTCGTAGTTACACGTGGTTACAATAGTATTATTACAAGGCCAAGTGGTGACAAACAAAAGTCGCGTTACCTGCGATTGTGGTGTTTCCCGTGGTAACAGCATCACTTTGACTGGGGCGCTCTGGTGCAAGATCGCGATTTCAAATTTTGTTATACTTCAAGAAGTTTCGCCTTCGGTCTAAAGCCATCTTGCAGTGTTTTCTTGCTGAGTGTTTACCAGCACTTGAGAGATACGAGTTTTGATTTTCGCTTGCCGCTGGACAAGGAAACGAGCCCCGAGTTGGTTGGTCTCAGAACTAAAAGAAATCAGCAATCGTTGCGATGGAAATAACGGAGACCGTGACCCATCATTGTTTCTTGGCCGGCTACTACATGTACATGTAAATGTACATGTAAAGCCGAGCGACAGTACAGGCACAGCAGTGGCCAAGCAAAAAAATCAGCTACGCTTCTCCTTCTCTATAAAGCGAAAACTACAAGCTCGGCTACAAGTAGCAGTTTAATTTATTGTTTGAAATAAAATTAATAATCTTGCTCGCGCGCTCCTCAGCGGTCAAAATGATGCTGTAGCTGTGTTCACTGCATGCTGCTGGCACTAGAAGTACACTAGAAACACGTCAAGCGCAGGTACTTGGTGACTCGACTTTCGTTTGTCATCACTTGGCACTTGGCGGGCCAAGTAACTACGCATTGTCAAGAAGCTGTGACGTCAAACTTCAAAGGCCTATGGGGAACCCACTTATAGTTATACTTGTTATACAGCACGCGGCTACCACGCGTTGGTACATCTTATACAAAGCACCTTACGTAGAAACGAGAGTAGCTGTAACGTCACTGTCTTTATTCTCGTGAGATATGTACTTGTTTTGCAGTTTGTTTGGTTTATTTGAATTCGCACAGTAACCGTGTACTTCAGCTATTCTCTCCTCCCTCTTCTGAATTTGACTCCCCGCTGGCCTCCTCTCCTCCCCTCCCCTTACATTGTATTGGGCCTCCGCAGCTTAACCCCCCCCCCCCCCCCCCCCACGACCACCACCCCACGCACACACAACATTGTCACATAGCACAACTCAACCATTCGCTACCCTGTTATTGAGCACTCCTGCTCGTTTGGTCTCGCGAATCCAAATAAAATCAATCACGTCAAACATGAACGGCCTGTGGGGAACCCACTTATACTAGCAGCTATAGTTAATCCTCGTACTCACTCAAGTACTACTGTAGCGGACATGGAAATCCAGTCGATTGACCGGGGCCAGCGGCGCGGGCTCAGCGCATAGAGAACACTGCGTGCAGTGCACAAGTAACTCCGATGCTAGTCATGCACGCTGCATGCAGCGCGCTAGCGCGCTTGCATGCGTGTACCGCTTATCCAGGGCTGCATAGCCAGCGCTCTGGGACCGCTAGACGTGCGACCATATGTCCACGACAGTAGTAGTAGGGTATAAAAAGCTAGTCATTTCACTGTCACTGTCATTTTGCAAGACATTCTAGACGAAGACGCTTCGAGTTTTGTGTCTCGTGGCTCTGGTGGCATGTCATTGAGGTTGCCTGACCTGGTTCAATTTTTGTTTCGTCCATCTGAATCAAACGTTATCAAAATCCTCAGTGGTAGTATTCAGACGTTTTCGGGTTCTGCGGTTCTTCTCTAGAACTGTGAGCGATCTTACTGGTGGGCTCAACTGAACGTGCACAACTCCTCTCCCAGCTGAAGTTTCAAACATGGCGGGAAAGGAGCCTCGTGTTTCTGGCAAACAGATGGAGCAGTGGTCAAGGTACGTTTATGCATAAGTATGATCACTTGTTCTACAGAAAACCAAATCTCTGCTACAGTCATGTAGTTATAGGAGTCAGGCTTTGTATGAAAGACAGCTTTCAAGGTGAAGTTAGATTGGCAATGATCTTACCTGATTTGAATTGCCTAATTTCCTATTTTCTATCCATTTACTATTCATCCAATCTATTTTACAAGTAATTTTACATCCCAAATCAAATAGGCAAGTATGCACATAGCCAGCAATCGCGGGTTATCACCTAGACATAATAATAATCTGCATAACGGTAAATGTAACTTAGTTTAGAATGGAACTTTTGCTCAGCGTCACCCTTTTAACCAGGCCGTAACGGGGTCGGCCAAAGGAATCCTAGAGAAAGAGACTCCTCCTCTCCACTGCTCAACCAGGATGCCGACATAGGTCCGAAAATAGACAACTAAAGGGTACGCAAGAAAACTTTACGGCCAAGGCTGCGCAGACTTTGGCCTACTAGTATAAGTACATTCAAAATTTACGAGGAGCACACAAAAAATCTCCATTGAAACCTAGGCAACCTGCGCAGTTCCAAACTGGAAAGAAGAAACACTGGTGGTAGGAATTCACACCGGCGCAGTGAACCAGTTCCAGTCTTCTATATCGAAGTTTACCGCGCCTAGTGTAATCCAGCGAAAACAACACAGCCTCAACCGAATGTTGCCTTTGTGTCATGAGCGCCAAAGACAGAAGTAATCTGTGCAAAAAGATTGTGCTCTTATGGAGGTACCTAAGTATACATACATACTTCCTCCGTGAACAAAAACTTCGTGATGGAATTCTGAGGGGCTGATTTGGGCACAAACTGCCGTGAAATGAGTCGCAATCACTTTCTTGGCCTTCCCTGGCATGCCATGACAGAGGTACGATGGAAGGAAAGCGACCTTTCACAACAAGCCGAGCGGAATCGATGGTTGCGCTGTGGAAACATAGGTGATGACAGTCATGGCGAGCGAAACTGAAATACCACTTCTCCGAGGGGATATTGCGCTGCTTGGCCTCTCTACCACTTTAGCGCTGAGTAAGTTGGAGAGTGATAGACTAGAGAGCGATAAAACGGAGCAGCGAGCCCACACAATGAGCGAGTGAACAAGGAGCTTCTCCGATCGCACGGCTCAATGAAAATAATTCTGAACTCAAGTTCTTGTTCAACCTGCGCAAAGCCCAGATTCGAATGCTGATGACCATGTATTCTTTCAGAAGTCTGCAGTCTGATGCAAGTCTCGTGGCTAAAGAAAGTCGACTGGACTTGCTAGCCGCTGCCGTTCAGTGCTGGTATCCATTAGAGAAAGTGGAATCAGTTTGGCTGTGCCTTTACTCCTCGTTTCGCGGAGTTCTGGAGAGCGAAGATGAAACCAGGGGGTCGTAAAATATTTTCACGACTCCCGGATGGAAACGAGTAATCGCCATCGCGGCGGATCACGCAGCTTGAAAGCCAACTTACCTGAACGATGGCGACATCAAAGTCAGCGGAGTGTGATCAAAGAAGCCGAGGCAAGGCTGAAACGAGCTGAACAACGACTCGAGAGAGATGACGACTCGCGTACAGCAGATGACGACTCGCGTGCAGCAGATGACGACAGCGACGCAGGTCAAAAATGAATCGAGCGAAAGCGACGCAAACTGAACTCTCTGCTCATTCCGCCAACAGTTTCTCTTGTAAAGACGCTGTACATAGGCCGAATCACCTTCGTCCAGTGATTTGCAGTCGATACAAACTGTTCTTGACCTGTTCTAAGCGTTTTCATATCCATCAAAATCCATCACGACGTTTTTGTTAACGGAGGAAGTACATACATAAATACAAACATACATACAAACATACTTTAGTACATACATACATACTTGCATACATACATCGTGATCTTGATCCTGCTGCCAAGTCTCGCTACATACACACATACATACAAGAAACAGACCTAGATACACCCACTCTTATGTTGTAACCCATCCACCCAGTGATACATATGCTGTTTTGTCTTCGTTATTTCTTCCATTTGGTTTCTATATGTCTGGTTCACACAGGATTCAGCGGAATATCCGATGTAGTATCATCGAAGAGGATCGATTCGGTCGCCCAGGAGCAACCCTGAGGTCGTCAATTAACATCATTGGTGGACTTGATATTTCGTTCAGCAGCAACGACAACCAGACGGCCGTGGCTGCGCTATCGCTATATAACTACGGTACCATGCAACACATGCATACATTTAAGATTCCCGTCAAAATAACCGTACCATACAAATCCGGCTTTTTGGCGTATCGAGAAGTCGAGCATTATGTCACGTTGCTGGAGACACTTAAGAAGGAACACCCCCAGTGGAAGCCACAGGTGCTTTTGGTGGATGGCAATGGAATTTTGCACCACAGAGGCTGTGGCTCAGCCAGCCATCTAGGAGTTGTGGCTGACGTGCCCACCATTGGTGTAGCCAAAAAACTTCTTATTCCAGCGGTTCAAGCCCGAAGTGAGCGACAATTCCGAGAAGTAAGTGAAGACTTCTCTATGTTCTTGCCCTGGAACATTCGTTAGGAATACTCGCATCTACTTCTTTATCTTTGCCGTGATGATGCCCAATTCGCACAGTATTGGCTGTAATTCATTATTATTCCTGTCGTGCAACTGAGCGAAATTTTCGTAGATGGAGGGGATAGCAAGTGAAAAGTACTTAGCTTAGGATTTGGTCCCAGTGATAATCATCTGTCCCTGTTGAAAGTTTAACACTTGCGTCTTTTTGACCCTTTTGGCATCCGCAGGACAATATCAAACACCTTTGCCAAAACAGAGGCACGGCTCCAGTGATTGGAAAGGGCAAGACCGGCATCATTGGAGTAGCCAGCGTCAACAAAGGTGGATCAACACCCGTCTATATTTCAGTGGGCCACAGAGTGTCTCTGAATACTGCAGTTAGAATAGTCCAGCAGTGCTATCGAGGCAATTGTAGAATTCCAGCTCCTATAGACAGTGCTGATCAAGAATCCCGGCAACAGATTGGTGCAAGAACGAGAGATACTCGCCCGCGTGTGAATGCCAAGCCTAGAGATCGCAACAGTTACCACGGACCAGTGCAGCAGGTCGACATGGACACGTCTGGCGGCAAGGATTCCACGACTTCCACCACACATGACGTTCAGCAGGAGACTCCGAATACAGCTCCACTGAAGGCACAGCCATCAGATAACGCCCAAGGGACTCCTGGTTTCCCTGCTCGTCTACGTGGCAAAGCAGCTCACACCTCCCCAGACGACGAGGGCTTCACCTCGGCTACTGGAAAACATACATTCAAGCCCAAGCCATCAGCTAACGCCCAAGGGACTCCGTGTTTCCCTGCTCGTCTACGTGGCAAAGCAGCTCACACCTCCTCAGACGACGAGGGCTTCACCTCGGCTACTGGAAAACATACATTCAAGCCCAAGGCATCCCCGTCAGTGCAACACATCACCCGATCCACAGGTAACATGGGCTACCGAAGCATCAGCCACCAAGAGGGAGAGGCATTTGGAACGCATTGCAGCTACCCGCAGAGGAAGCGCTAGTGCAATCAAGGTAATTAATGGCTTAAGTTGTGTTTGCACTCTCATTACTCACCATTATGTATCATACAAGTTGCCAACTATACCAACAGGACACCCGTGGAAACCCTAATGAAATCCCATTTCATCCTAGCTCACAGCCCTCTAATTACTCCCTTTTATCGAACATCCACATAAATCCTAGCATCGCATCAGAGTCTGTCACACGATAAACTGCTGGAACTGTAAAGATAGGCTTCATTAGTTCATGCAGCCTTCGACATAAGATACACCACATCACTACCCCTCTCGAGGAACGCATTGGGAAATCCTGCGCGGTTACGTAGATACATTCTACGTAGATCGAAGTCAGAGCACGTCGAGAAACGCATCTTCTAGCTTGTATATACCGATATTAAGACGAACCTGTGTCATACATGTACTGGCCTCTAGTGCGTCGCCAAAGACAGTAAGAGCCTGAGGAGGCATACTGGTGTTCGAGGATGTATTGCTTTTCGAAGAAACTCAATTTCCATTGAATGTGTGAATTGTGAACTGTAATGTCTGGCCCAATACAACATGTACATCGTTGATGTTGAAATATTTCGCAGCGTGTATAATAATCACCTGTGGTTCACATGGTGTAGCCTCGTGCTCTCGAGTGTCCCTGGGTATCACTGACCATGCTTGGTCATTTTCTATTCTCTGCTTCAGCAAAAACTGGATGCTGCCACCCGGGATTCGTCTTCGAACAGCGACCCTGATGAGGTTCCTGTCGCTATGGGCAAGCGGAAGGCTACCCAAGCAACGCCAACCAGGGATAACCTTGATGATTATGTTCTTCTACACTTTGTCATGTGATAATTGTCAACTCGCTTGCTAGCCTTCCTACTTTGTTGTATCCCATTTATTTTAGTATCCCTGATGTGTGTCCATACCCCTGCTTGATGATTTAACTCCAGTTACTTTCATTGGCTACCTTTAATTCCGTACTCCACTGATGATAGGGACAGAAGATATATTTCTCGCCGGCCGAGCGGAGCGAGTGAGGTTAGAAATGATTTCTCGCGCAACAAAATTTTGTTTCTTGCGAATATGGAATCTGGTGTTTTCTCTTTTTGTTGCTGTTCTTTTTGCCTGACTTCTTCAGTCAGTTTTTTATGTCTCACCAGTGTCCCCACCCTCCCACGTTTCATGTCTGCCCGTCTTTTTCCCTTTCTTTCTTGGCTGTAGATATGTTGTGCCAGTTTAATGCTGCCATATTACCACTTGGGGTTATACACCCGGTCTTTTCCCTCATTCGTGCGTTCGTCGGCGCGAGGGTTTTTTCCCGGCTGGCTCGGTCCAGAGAAATTAATCTGACGGTCCCAAGTGGTGCAATGCAATCACTTTTCCTCCTGGGGTCTGTCTCCCTGTTGTTGCTCCTAGTTTCGTCTGCATTCCGGTTCACATCTGGCTACGGCCTACTACCCTAACTCTGTGTGCTCCTGCCTCTGTGGTCTGGGTCCATGTCCTTATGTCGGTGTATGTGGAGCGAGAACATCGGTTCTGGATTATAATATTCCTGTTACACTACTACTAGGATAAACATACATATCGAACAGGAAACTTACCTGTGGTTGCGTGATGTATGCAGCCTTCATTTTATTTACAGCTCTATTAAAGTTATTAACTCCTCGAGGGTTGTTAAAACCGAAAATGAATAGAAAATATGAAGTTCAAATCAGGTTCCAGATCCGTGACTGTCTCAAGTCGCCTTGTATGCTTTCGTACATGTCTAGTCTTACCCTTACAATTGGTAGAGGTTTGGTTTTCTGTAGAACAAGAGGTCAAACCGACATGTATGCATAACCGTACCTTGACCAGCGCTTTATCTGTTTGCCACAAATATGGCGCTTGTTTGACGCCTTGCTTGAAACTTCGGCTGTTGGAGGAATTTTGCACACCTTAGTTGATCTCACATGGATGCAGCTAATGGGATTTCGGTCTTTGACCACTTGGTGGTGGGTCTGATCTACTCACCTCCCACCGTTTAGGCGCTGCATCTGCGCCTTTGATCCTAGAGGGTGGTGGCGTTCCCACGGCGGATGCGGAAAACTCGGCTTCCAGCCGAGTCTCACGCGAACCGTGAAATTTTTTTTTTAGTTAATCTCACCAGTACAGACTGTATATTGCCGAAATCCATAGTCTATTGCCAGTGAAAAGCACTAATTATTCCAGAGAACAATGTCTTAGAACTCAGCCATCTGAATTCTCCACCGGGCATTAAAACGCGTTACATGTATACATTGTTTGTTTGTTTGAAGTTTTATTTTACATCGCAAACCAAACGGGCATTGATGCCCAATATTATGATAGCGATAGAATAAAAAGTGTGGCTCGATAAAGCTGCACTTGAGAAAATGAGAAAATAGTCAACAGGAAGTATTTGTACCGGTAATTACAAGTTAAAATCGAACGAAGTAACAATCAGAGAGAAATAGCAAGATGAGGTCCTATGCCAGAGGGAGGTGCTATTTGGCCATATTAACCGTAGAAAAACACTTTCAGCAATCCTTTAAACGAGGTTGGACGACGAGTGGACGTGAGTTCCTGTGGCAGGGTGTTCCAAAGCTTCACGGCAGAAACCAATGGTCGGCTGTCGCCAGATGTTCGCCGAGTTAGTGGAACAACGTATTTGCAATTGTCATTGCCACGGGTGTTACTGGGAGGTTGGAGGGCTACTCTATCTTTCAGAAGAGGGCTGATGCTGCTGGTGTGGACTAAGTGCATAAGCAAACGCAGTTTGCATTTGGCACGTTCAATTGCAGGGGTCAGTGCAAGGCGAGTGTATATGAGTGGTATGGGACGGGAAGGGCAGATTGGCTACGCAGCGAACACATCGCTTGTCGAGGACAGTGAGCTGGTGCCGCTTCTGAGCCTTAAGTGCTGAGAAGAACGCGTTTGATCCATTAAGCATGTCAGGAAGTATAAGGGCAGAATAGAAGAGGAGTGACTGGCGTTCAGATAGCGACGTGCGGATGGTTCTCAGGGTGGTTAGCTTGTGCGAAGTTTTACGTACTATGCTGGAGACCTGCGCGTCCCACCGAAGACAGGAATCGAAAGCGAACAGTGGTGGTCTGGGTGAGAGGCGTCCCGTTGCAGTTAAGGGGGCAGCCTACCCATAAATTTCATATGGCATTCAATTGACCGTTACTTTGGTGTTTCTCAATGGATTTGAATTTTGATCACACACTCCTGCCACTATGCTGGCCCTCAGGACATGATTTACAAGTTCTTGCGCCTCACTGACAGGCTTTCCAGGCCGGAAAAACTCAAATTTCCGGCATAGTGCCACGCTGTGCGAGCCACCCAGGAGCCAAACAAAATTTAATGCATTTTCAATTTTTTCACATTTTCGTGCTCATTCTGTTCGTGCGCGGGACTCATACCTAGTACAAGTCCAGAAGCAGCCATGGGTGATGGGGTAGGGCCCCTCAACGAGGCCCTGGAATCTGTCACAACGGAACGAGTGGGCGTTCTCTCCCACACTCCCACAGACCCAAGTCAATTTTTGAATTTTTTTAGGTTTAGGGTGTGCTAGGGTTAGGAGCTGCATCTGCGCCTTGATCCAAGAGGGTGGTGGCGTTCCTGCGGATGCGGAAAACTGGGCCTTTGGCCGAGTCTCACGCGAACCGTGAAATTTTTTTTTTTTTTTTAGGGTGTGCTACGAGGTCGTAAATTTGATACAACATCCAGTGCTGGGACCTCCACAGCAAGGAATTTCCACAGCGCTGCACACCAAATCCAGGATACCCTCAGAAACCGGCAAAGACTTCCACTCACGTTTCACGACTGCCTAGTACTGAATCCTACCTGACTTCTTGACACGACTCAAACTTGCCAAAGTCACTAAATCAACGTCAACTACAATAATCAAGCCACATATCTGCAACGTCACGAGGGTGCTGGCAAAAGTCCTGCTGCACGGCGGCGGGCTTCGCCCGCCGCCGTGCAGCCCAATTTCGTGGCTCAAAAACCTAATTTTTTGGACTTGGAGCAAAATTCTGCACACTTTCACGTGTTTCCATGATACGACAAGTTGCGCACGGTCTGCTCACATTCAAATACAGTGCTGCTAACAAATGACAGCGTGCAACAAAAATATCTTTCCTTGCAAGGGCACATTTTCGGCCATAACTCTTGAACGGCCGGTCAGATTGGGACACAATTTTCAGAGAATTTGCAGCTATTCATGCTCTTTCAACTGACGTAGCACTCAATATGAATTTACAAATTCGATTTTTCAGCAAATTTTTGGGTAGTCTGCCACCTTAACGTTGACTTCCAGGGTACCACGGCATGAACCCTCCAATGGCTAAGACCTGCGTCTTGTCAGGGTTTAAAACCAGGCCTTTCCCGTGTAGGTAGTCAGCCAAGTTTGACACAGCAACTGATAACACTTGATTTAGGGTTGCTACAGATCCGCATGCGGTGTCGAGAAGGATGTCATCCGCAAACAGCTGGGAGTGTGCTGGGCTGGTGACGCTATGGACGTCCATGGTATATAGTGAAAACAGCAAAGGCAGTATGTAGCTGGTGGTCTGCTGACGACAGATAGCGGTCCATGGCCAAGGTCAGGGTATCTTCCGTGGAGTGTTGTGGCCGGTACGCAAACTGATTGGCAGGCAAAAGTGAATAGGTTTGTAAGAAGTCACACAGGCGTTTGTGGACTATCTTCTCCAAGATCTTCGATGCTATTGGCAGCAAAGATATGGGACGGTAATTGCGAGATGCGTTCTTGTCACTAGACTTAAATAGGGGTCGAACATTTGCAATCTTCGGGGAGAAGGGCACCATTCCAGACGAAAGGGATGCATTAATTAATATGGATAGCGACGGGGCGAGGGCTGCTGGACAATGCTTCAGGATGAATGCCGGAATACTGTCGCCGCCCTCAGCTTTACGAGCATCGAGTTTCACGAGGATGGCGAATATCGCCTCAACACTAGTGGCCTGGAATTCCCGCAAAGGATCCTCAACTGATGTAAAGTTCAATTCAAGGTGACAAAACAAATTGAAACCAAGTAGTTCGGCAATTTCTGTCAATGAAATGCCACCAAAGGCAAGTGGCACAAAAGTTGAAGCATCTTCCTCTAGATTGCTTTGCAAAATGACAGTGACAGTGAAATGACTAGCTTTTTGTATAGCCTACTCTACAAGTAGGTATTGAATCTAATAACACGTCAGAGGCTGGGTGTTTGTGCCATAGGCACCGGCGGATAATGTCGGCATGATTCTTGGCATAATTTGGTGGTTGAAAATTTGGAGCAAAATATAGCATCCTCTCGGAGGTAGGAGCATAACTACACGATTTTACCACGGTTCTAGTATGTAGGCTATACAATTGTGTACAATGCGCCTGATCAGAGCTGGTGGTCTGCATGGCAAAGCGTTTGGAGGTCATGCAGATAGTGTTTTGAATGAAAAGCAGGGTAGAAATCATGGCAATACAATATTGTATGCTCGAACTCCTCTTCTGCAAAGTTCTTTCTCACACTGGCACAGTACATGTAGGAGAAGATGCCAGTGAATCAGCCTTCATCAGGTATCCCGGGGCGGAAGGGATAGTGACGGGTAGTCCGCAAAACTACGTGAACATTTACCGGTACTCGTACATTACATTTGTACATTATGCATGTTACGAAGTCATGACCAGTCTGGATTTTAGCAGCCATGATATGACGGCAGGCTACGGATATTGCTCTTGTTCGGTCATGATGGAAGGAGAAGTGGAGCTACGGGCGAGATAAGCTGATTATTCGCAGGGTGAGGCCCAGGGTGACATCGGTTGGACGAGTATGATGATTACGAAGACAGTTGAACATGATAATTTTCAGTAGTAGGGACCGAGCCGGACCTGGCGAAGAGTTGAACCCACTTGACCTTATGAATGGGTACTTGAACTTTGCGGTTGTTAATTAAGTGGCCACTTGACCTTTTAATTGGATAAGTGATAATGAAGTGGCCACTTGAGATCTGAAGTGGGCCAGGTGTCATATTTAATTGGATTAATGACTAAGTGGTGTTTGAAGTGCCTCTCGGCGTCATAATTGCTTTTAAAGTGGTGGGTGTGGTTGTTGACAAGAGTCACTGTCTGGGAATGTGTTCTGGAAACTTCTAGGTATTCCCAGGCTTATTAGAACTAGCTCTACGGTATGATGTCATAGGGGGGTATTTTAGGAGGTGTGACTCATTTATAAATTGATATATGATGCAGCGTTTACTGGAAAATGTGATCAGTTAGCATAATGGATATTGAAGAGCAATTTGAAATACTGCGTGCGTACAAGGAGCGTCAACGCGCCGTCGTTGAGCATGACGATGACCCTTGTCCTGATGCCCCTCCTCCTAGTCCAAACATTGACAAATGTTTTCATAATCATCAAGTTGTGAACGAGGGGCACTTTGTGTGTACTATATGCGGACTTGTTCTTGATAGCGTGCTGTTGCCGGAGGTGAATTTTACAGAGAGATGCATTCTCCCACGGCTATATGCGGCTCGGGAGCGATTGACTGCCGTCGACAGACATCTGGTACGCTTCATGCAGAAGACCGGTGTCCTGCTGAACCTTCACGGTGTGCTGGAACCGTTGCAGTACATGAAGAAGGAGAGTGGCTACAAGAGCCTGAACTATGCCATAGCTCTGACATGCATCTGTGCTGAGCACGACGAGATTTGCCAGAAGCTTCAGCCATATCTTCCAAAGAGCCATGTGGCGTGGGCACGATCCAGCAAGCTAATGAGTTGCAAACCGCAGCAATTTTCGAAAGCCTGGTTCCGCCAACTTCTAATCCGTACAAAACCTCTTACCCCTTTTCAGCTGAAGAAGTTTAAGCAGAATATCCGAGAGTTTAATTCTGAGGAGAAGGAACTGATGCAAAGACTAATCCAATCTTACGGGTGCTGTGAACCTCGTGTGGAATTAATTCCTGCGGAGATGAAATGTGCGCTGTACCGTTTCTCAAGTGCCATGTGTAGGGCGAGGAAGATGATGATGAAGGGTACCGTTGCCGCTGTATAAAACCCCTGACATCTTAATTTTCCATCATTTCGCAAAGCATCCTTGCCAAGTCACAAGTAATTGTTGTTGTTGTCTTCATCCTTGCTATTACTTTGGTGAAGAAGAAGAAGAAGAAGAAGAAGAAGAAGAAGAAGAAGAAGAACAACAACAACAACAACAACAACAACAACAACAACAACAACAACAACAACAACAACAACAACAACAACAACAACAACAACAACAACAACAACAACAACAACAACAAGAAGATCATGAACATGTGGTCTATTTTGAAAGATCATGGTGAGGACGGCCATTGTACAATGGGTGCGCTGATGCGTTGTGCTGCGCGGTTAGGAATCGCAACCTCGCTGACAAACCTGGTGGAACCTTTCAATGGAGACCATGGATATGATCAAGCAGTTGTTGAAAGTCACCCCATAACCAACTTGATCTGGATTGCTGCCAAGGACATGGCTTGCTGCGGGCGGAAAGAACTACTTGATGTAGTGAAGCTGCTGTTTCCAGTTGATCCAACCCCTGATGGAAGTACGCCTAGTACTGCTACTGGCAAGTCGGACATTGCTCAACGCCACCTCATGAAGAACCTATCCTGCGTGTTCAAGAAGGTGAAGAGCACCCCTTCCAGTAACAACATTAGTATGATCATCGTGTTGGTTGCAATGCTCATTCTCTTGTGTGAAGAAGTGTCGCTGAGAGGATACGATCATGAGCTGCACTGCACTCTAGTTGAGTTCTTCGATCAAGAACTGCATGCTATTGACGTGGTGCACTACAAGCGTTGTCAGCAAACTCAGTCAACATTCACGAATTGTGGAATTCCACAAATGCTCACATTGATTACTATTATGTCTATCCTTGCCTCCCTCACTTTGAGCTATATTATTTGACATGTAGACACACACACACACACACACACACACACACACACACACACACACACACACACACACACACTCAAATCATCATCATCATAATACATGACGTTATTCATTAAAAATGTTTTATTATAATTTATCAATACACTTGGTAAAGAAAACGGAATGAATCATAAATGTTGTAGTTTCTGTACACGCCTGTGATGGTATCGTCCATTCTCAGTACGGCTTGATTGGCATGGAGTGGGTTGGAAGTGAATGACAGCGTGCACTTGTTCTTCCTGGGTGTTTGACAGTGTGACATCCAGTAGCGTATCTCCTTTGTCCCGCGCTCTGCAGCATCTGCAGGGTATCCAACTAGAATGTATAACCCAAGTGGCACATGGTACCGGCATCCACATTTTTCCAAATGGGAATTCAGTGAGCACCAGTTCTGTGTTTGCTTGAGTCTCCGGGAGTGTTCCGCTAACAGTGTGTTCTTCTAAAGCGAAAGTTTGTCGTATCAGTGTTCTTCTTAACGAGGTTTCACTGTACATAGATGCAAAAAGACACACATAGGTGGTCTTTATATTACATTGTCTATTCCTTGATACATTGACACGTCTGTGTATTGCTCCCCGTTCTGATAGGTGTATGTTTTTGTTGTAATCGCCGTCACGTGAACGGTGTTGTCAGCCCTCACCTCTCTTCTTTTTACCATACATTCCTTGTAGACTTGTAGGGTTTCATTCTGTTGATGTTGTTGTTGTCCGTCTTGTTGTCGTGGAGGTGGTGGAGGTGGGCTAATTAAGTGGCCACTTGAAATGTGAAGTGGTGTTTGAAGTGCCTATCGGCGACATAAGTATTTCTTTTCAAGTGGTGGGTGTGGTGTTAGTAAGATTGACTGTCTGGGATGTTTTTTTGAAATTGAATTATGATATTCTGGAATATTCTAGGTATTGCCAGACTACCCTTCAACCAACGAGCACCAAACAACTGGATGGGGATAAAAGTGATTGGAGCCGCCTTGATGAGTCCCATTCAACTCCAGCCTGAAGATCGTCTTCTTCTTCTTCTTCAAAACAAAGATGCAATTCAGCTGTGACTTATGTCTTAAGACTACGACCGGCCTCCAGCCGTTCGTTGACCACGCCAAATCAAAAGGACATCGGAAGAACCTGGAGGCTGGTCGTCAGCCGGTTTATAAATGTAGCTGGTAAGTGATCTGTTATACAATTATCTTTATTTGAAATACAGGAGATCTTATACATCTTGTTTTATCTTTTTCCCCCATGCAGCGATGACGAGTGGATTGATCTTGGGGCAATGAAGGATCACGTTACAACGTCCCGACACATCAACAACTACCTTCAGAGGCTTATCAACTTCTACGGGGTGTTGCCCATTAACAGCGTGACGAAGATGGCGCAAGCCCAGGCGGAGCTCCTGTGTTTATAATAAAAAGTTTAAAACCAACATATCTGTGTTAAATGTTTGTGTGAAAGGGGTCGAGTTCTCATTCAATTGCATGTTCCGAGTTGATGGGTTTGGAACGTTGAAGTTCGATGTGATCGACGTATTGGGTAGCTGCAAGTTCGTTGAACAGAGCGGTGGCAAAACATGTGACAGTTGTTTTTTGGCACGTTGTAAAAGCCCTTGACGAGATTCGAGTCGTAGAGGAAATCTACCATATTCTGCAGATTTAGATTCGATTGGTCAGTAATAATCTCCTCTATTGCCGTATTGGAGTTTTTCGATAGGCACTCGTCAGCTCCGCATTATAGTCTATAGACGGATGTAGACGACGCACAGACGCCATTTCCTGAACAGCATGGACCTGTGTGATCAATTCGACGCGCTCATCAATTACGTTCGACAGCCAAAGGGCTCTCCTGCAGGTGATGATTGTTGCAATCACGTGACCGAGGCCGTGATAAATGGACGCACCGGAGCATGATTTTCAAAACAAAGCGATGCATGTCAGAAAAAAGATGCTATCAATCTCGACAGCGTCTCCTAGGCGTCGACAGACATCTAATTAGTTTTTCTGAAGAAAACAAACATTGGTGACTTCCTCTCAGCTCACTTCAACCTTCACCCCCCTGCAAGAAACGCTACATTCTCTGAAGAAATCCTGTTTTGTACAAAAGCCTCAACTATGCTATTGCACTATCGTGCCTCCTATTCGATAGTAGCCTGTCGTCACATCGATATCAATGATGTCAGTGACGCCTCAAAAAAGCCATTTTGAAACCCTGGCCAAAGCGAAGTGGATGTAACAACGTCTGCTTCACCATCTCAAGTGGAAGAGGGGAGATCACGTTTTCCCACGTTCAGCGCGTACGAGCAACGTGCATCTCCTGTGAAACCATCTCTTCAACTGGAAATGGACGTCTTAATTCCAAACACAGTGGAGTTTCTGCTGGAAGTACACATGAAACATGGGAGCAACCTGATGCGTTAGACATGTCGGTTAAACTCAGGGGTGACTACCATGATCTCTACCTAAAGACCGATGTGCACCTTCTTGCAGATGTTTTTGAGAAATTCAGATGCACTGCAATGCTCACGTACGATTTAGATCCGACACACTACTACACACTGCCTGGATTCGCGTGGGCTCTTCTAAAGCATACAGAGATTTCACTCGCTCTGCTCACTGAGCTTCGGAAGAAGGCCGTCAACGAGTTTGACAAGGACTTCTTCAAACTTATGAACAATATGAACAATGTGTCTGGGAAGACAATGGAGAATAAAAGAAGAAGGATCTCCGTTAAACTACTCCGTGCAGAGGAAGAGGAAGATGTCATCAGAGCTGTGCACCATTCCACAGTAAGCGGTACATCTTAGCCGACGGTGTCAGCACACTTGCGCATGGACACCACCGCATCACACTGCCGGATGACTGAACAGTGATGTGATGTAATGGTGGTGGTGGTGGTTGACAATCACAATTATTCACACCCTGCACCATGTCAATTTATTTCTAATGAGTTATTGATGTTGATGTTATTGTTTTCTACATACCACAGAATAATCTTCTTCTTTTTTTTGTCTAGTTTCCCATAACTAGACTTTTATTTCTAATATACCTAAATATAATTGCTTGAAATACAATCACAGTTGATGATGATGATGATGATGATGATGATGATGATGGTGTGATAATGCATTTTTATATTTCGTGTTTTAACATTATTTTCAGAAAATTGCTCTTACAATACCTTGCGTTTCATATTCATAATATTGTTGCCCGTAAAAGCGGCTTGGTCACATGATGATGATGCTGCTTGCTGCGATGGGCAGTCACCTGCTTCCGCGGTTGCCGCGGTTCGTACGGCAAGAGGCGACAGCCGAACTCATTTCTGGCCCAGTGCCGCCAGGCGGAGTAGGGTGCTGCCTTTGGCCTCAACTTAATATAATGCTATTTTGGTTTTTTCCCCTTTTATTACTCTGTGTTCATCGCTTGTTTTTGTATTGATTTACTTCCTTGACTGCTTTTGTGTTTCATCATTTTCCGGTTGGTTTTGTGTTGATTTCCCCTGTTCACTTTACATATTGTAATGATATACATTTGCTTTGCCCGTAAAAGAGGCTTTTCTCATGATGATGATGATGATGATGATGATGATGATGATGATGATGTTCTCGACGTACGGCTTTAGTGGCCCAGAAACTACTCAATTCCTGAAATCATTGGCCTCCCTGTTTGTTGAGCGCCATACTGAACTGAAGTACCCACTAGTAATGGGCATACTACGCACCCGTTTGTCTTTCTGCTTGCTGCGATGGGCAGTCACCTGCTTCCGCGGTTGCCGCGGTTCGTACGGCAAGAGGCGACAGCCGAACTCATTTCTGGCCCAGTGCCGCCAGGCGGAGTAGGGTGCTGCCTTTGGCCTCAACTTAATATAATGCTATTTTGGTTTTTTCCCCTTTTATTACTCTGTGTTCATTGCTTGTTTTTGTATTGATTTACTTCCTTGACTGCTTTTGTGTTTCATCATTTTCCGGTTGGTTTTGTGTTGATTTCCCCTGTTCACTTTACATATTGTAATGATATACATTTGCTTTGCCCGTAAAAGAGGCTTTTCTCATGATGATGATGATGATGATGATGATACAACCCAGGAGGTTGCCGACCGAGTGAGGCTCTCCAATCATGATCCCGTCCGCGATGCTGTTGGGGACACCCGCCAGCTGGCACGCTCGACTCGGACAAGCAAAATGCGGAGCCTATGCAGCCGGCAACAAGACATTAAGGCGGACTTGAGCTCGGAGCAACAATTTCTTGTTGAAATCGCGTCCGAAAAGGGAGTATCGTCATGGTTGACTGTTGCCCCGCGGTGGCAAGATGGAACCATCCTGAAGAAATCCGACTTCCGTGATGCCCTGTGCATCCGCTATGGGCGGAGGTTGAGTGGGCTACCCGATTCATGTGTTTGTGGTGTGCCTCTCAGCCCCGCTCATGCACTTACCTGTGCCACTGGCGGCTATACCATTGCCCGTCACAATGAGGTGCGGGACTTGGTTGCTGGACTACTGAGGGAGGCTGGAGTGGTGGACGTAGAGACGGAGCCCCGGCTATTGCCCTGCAGCAGTGAGCATTTGCCTGGTGGTCGTTCCCTCAACCGATGCGCAGAAGCTCGTCTGGATGTGCGGGCTCGCGGCGTTTGGTCGTGGCAACAGGACGCTTACTTTGATGTGCGGATCACTCATCCCGCAGCGTCTGTGTTGTCTCGATCACAAGCCCTGAGTCAGCTGAAGTCTCACGAGCGAAACAAGAAAAATCAATACGCCAGCCGTGTGGTTAACGTGGAGCGCGGCTCCTTCACGCCACTTGTGTTCTCGACGTACGGCTTTAGTGGCCCAGAAACTACTCAATTCCTGAAATCATTGGCCTCCCTGTTTGTTGAGCGCCATACTGAACTGAAGTACCCACTAGTAATGGGCATACTACGCACCCGTTTGTCTTTCTGCTTGCTGCGATGGGCAGTCACCTGCTTCCGCGGTTGCCGCGGTTCGTACGGCAAGAGGCGACAGCCGAACTCATTTCTGGCCCAGTGCCGCCAGGCGGAGTAGGGTGCTGCCTTTGGCCTCAACTTAATATAATGCTATTTGGTTTTTCCCCTTTTATTACTCTGTGTTCATTGCTTGTTTTTGTATTGATTTACTTCCTTGACTGCTTTTGTGTTTCATCATTTTCCGGTTGGTTTTGTGTTGATTTCCCCTGTTCACTTTACATATTGTAATGATATACATTTGCTTTGCCCGTAAAAGAGGCTTTTCTCATGATGATGATGATGATGATGATGATGATGATTTTTTTTTTTTTTTTTTTTTTTTTTATGAAGCCACTTCTTTGTGCAAACAAAACACAATTTCCCAAGATGAAGGAGTGGAACCCTACACAAATAATAGTTTAAATGAATCCAACGCAAAGATCGTTTTCCATGAAATACAACAATTGAACACAATTACATGCTTAAAGGCATGAAAGCAACAAAACAGCAACAAAAGGGTAAGCGCCATACCAATCCCGCATGCACAGTCAGGACACAGCACGATACTTAACAAACTAGACCTGACTCGGCCACGGCAATCGAGACATCATGAAAACATCTCGCCGGATGGTGGTACCGTGACCGAGCCCCACGTATGCACAACACCGCAGCACGCAGCAAAGCAAAAGACAGCCGACAGCGGAGTAAACCAATGACCTGGGAATAGTGAGATCCCGATGACTCGGCCTGCATCTGGCACAGTCTCTTGAGGAACACATTGCACAGCCTCCCACAACCACCATGCACAGAGATGATGATGATGATGATGATGATGATGATGATGATGATGTCATTTGGTTGATGTTTTGAAGTAGTTTTTATGACCTGATGTTTGTTTTTTATATTTGTAGTTCTATTGTTGACATCTTTTGTCTTTTCTTTGGGTTAAAAGGTTAACTTCATCCTCGTTTTCCTATTGCCTTGTATTGGAATTTGCCCATAAAAGTGGCTACGGTGTGATAATGCATTTCTATAAATTATTTCGTGTTTTAACATTATTTTCAGAAAATTGCTCTTACAATACCTTGCGTTTTATATTCATAATATTGTTGCCCGTAAAAGCGGCTTGGTCACATGATGATGATGATGATGATGATGATGATGATGATCTCGTTCACTTTACTCCGTTGGGCAGTGACCTGTTTTCGCGGCTGCCGTAGCTCCTACCAGAAAAAGTCAGTCAAGAATTTCAGGAGCTATTGTTTGATGGGTCGTTAGATAGAGGCCGGTGTTTGTGAGACTGCAATCATTTAATGTTTCTTCCTTAGTGGTGTAGGTAGATTCTGTTTTGTAAGCATAGTAGGACTACTTTTGTTTTGTAAGTCAATCTCATTCTCCACGCTTTGCTGTCTTTTGGTTATGTTTTAAAGTAGTTTTTATGACCTGATGTTTGTTTTTTATATTTGTAGTTCTATT